ACGGGACAGTTAGACAAGAGTTTGGATCCTGACGTTCTCATAGCTGTGGACTTTGGGCAAGCCACTTCCTCCCTGAGCTCCAGTCTCATCTTCTGTACCTGGTCCCAGGCTCCCTCCTAGAGCTTGTGAGTATCCAATACCATGAAGTGCAGAGATCTTGTCATATCCAGGGAAGCATGTAGATGAAAGTTTAGGTCTAGCCAATCCATTCATCTTCAGCCAGCAGGGGTGATGAAAGGTCAGCTGCACCAGGCTCTGAGCTAGGTTCTAGAATAAATCCTACGTAATATACACATATATACATACACACATAGATACTCATAGATACACACGCATGTAAGTACATCCACATGTACATCCACATGTACATAAACCCTCTCTCTCTGTGTGTATATCTATATATATAGGTAGATAAATAGATACACACATACACACACATATATACATATTCTACCCCAAGAGTTCCCAGAGGAAGGTAACAGGGGAAATACAGTTCTCACTTAGAAGAACAGACTCAGGTCTCTGTAAAGCTGCATTTTACCACCAGGGAGTTATGGTGCAATCCATGCTGCTAAATCCGTGTTTTGGGTGATGAAGATGAATTCCTCCTCTTCTTCTTTTCTTGGTCCCTGTACCCTCTTCTGCTCACTAACACCTCCATAGGGTCAGAGAAAAGATCAACCCAAATTAGTCAATTTGCTTCTTTTTAGTCACTGTTGGGAACAAAGTGGGAGGATGAGGAGGTGGCTACTAATGGATTTTTGAAAAGCAGAGTTGAGGCATTATCTGAGCATGATGAGCAGGCTGGCTATTTCCTCCTCACCCATGACAGAGAAATGAATGTTGGCCCTTATTTTTGGAGTGCAGTTATGTACCTGAGAGTCTCTTTTCCAGCTCCCAACTCCTACTCATCCTTCAGTGCCCAAACCATATGGCCCCTCTTGGAGCCTTCCCTGACTTTCCTGGGCAGAGAACACCTTCCATCCTCTGCATCCACATCACTTTGCTCATGTCTGGGCTCTTACCCACTATCTGCTCCTCTGATTGTTGGCTGCTCTTGTCTTTGTCACGTGATTATGAACTCCTCGAGGTGCTGACCACGTCTGATTCATCCTGATGTTCACAGGCCCAACTCTCAGATATTACCTGTTTAATGAGTGTGTAATTTCTAAGGAGAACACTCCGATTTTAGCATTCAGTGGAGAGAGGGTTAAGGAAAGGATATTACCCAATCATTTTCTGACAGGAAGAAAAGGTAACAAGATCCAAATCCCATCATTTCTTACTGGAATAGTGTAAGTCTTTGCCAGCCACTTCTAAAGAAACAAAGCTTATGTTCTAACTATTTCACAGCTATTTGTGTCCTAAGACTAGGCATGAAATGACGTTTAACACTCCCTACAGCACTAATGGTGGGAAGGGCCACTGGACGCGTCTACTACCCACAGCCATCTCATTCAGTTGTTCCGTGTGAATTTATTTTACAGCTGAGGAAACTATAATCTTACAATAATATATGAAGGAGGTATAAAATAAGCATTTTAAGGACCTGGGGTTTCAAATAAAATTAGGCTGTTTGCCTTTTAAAACTCCAATCCTATCAGCTCATCCATTTTTGGTTAAAAACTGTGAGCAGCTCTGAGCTCTCCTCAAAATAGACTCAAACCACTTGGCCTCGTCTGGAAAATCTCTAATTCATACACTCACCTCCCTCTCTAAGTGAGTCCCTTGGTCTCGCAGACTCACCTCTCTGCATTCCACAGTCTCAGGAGGGAGGTGAAGGTGCACAGCGTTCTCCAAGGCACAGTCCTTGCCTCTGCCTTTTCATCTCCCGGCCTGGAAACTCCTAAAACTCTTCCCTGAAGCATCTTGGCCTCCCTGCTCGGTACCTGTCTGGCTACATCCTGTCTCCAGGACTGAGTGCAGACATGCTCCCAGGGAGCTTCCGTGGTTCCACTCCTCAGTCTGGGTCAGGGACTCCTCCTCTGAGCTCCCCAAACACCCATTCCTACTGCAACACTGATAAAGGTGTGTTGTCTAGCCATTAGTGTATCTCCTGGCAAAACCAGAGGCAACTCCACTGCAGAGGCTGACCTAGTCCTCATTTATCCCCAGTGCCTAGAGCAGTACTCACATAGAAGAGGCACTCATATGTCTGCTGAATGAATGATCCTTCTTCCACCCTGAAGGCAAGATAGAGCAATAGTCGATCATGTCAGTGAATTCCAAGAGAATAGGTAAAAGTGGCCTATGGGAGGTTCCAGTGGAAAATTCCTACTCTAGCAAATTGGCTCTATGATGATCAAATTAAGACAACTGTTTACTTCAACCTACTTTACCCATGCAACTTCCCCAAGAAGACTTGAACTAGCACCAGGCCAATGGGGTCCTAAGAATGGGGCCCAGACTCATTAATCTGCCGACTTTCAGTAGGTCGGGCCCAGTAAAGATTGTCGAATGAATGACTAACACTACACTGGGTAAGAGCTCCGGGGAAGAGAAAAGAAGAGTAGAAAAATCTCCAGAAAAGCCAGCCAGACCATAAATGCCCAAGACCTCTCTGCCCTCGCTCCCATCCACAGGCTCCACGTTCCTCCTGCTCCAATGCTACTGGTCACTCAAGGCTGGGTAAAGTCCAAGCACATTCCCTGCTCAGAGCTTCAGTTCTGGCTATTCCTTCTACCCTTGCTCCCTCACTTTCTCTAGATCCTTCCCAAATAATGCCTCATCCAGAGCTGTTCCCTGGCAGCCTGTATAAAACAGTAATGCCCATTTCCCTCAACCCTCTAGCTCTCTGACTTAGCTTTATTTTTTTATGCTTTATATTTTTTCATAGCACCTAATACTGCCCGATGTAATACATGCATGTTTGCTACTTGCTGATGATCTCTTGACCCTACTTGAATGCAAGCTCCTTGAGAATAAGAACTTGGTTTTGCTCTGTCCTATATCCCTAGCACCAAGATCAGCACAAGCCACCCACTGCATGGTTCATGTTCTATGAATATCTATTGACTGAATGGATGACTGAATGAATGACTGCACAGAAAAGCTAACAGGCAAGGAAGGAAGCCCTGGATGAGCATGTCCTGGACCCTGACTGTCACTGAGTGCCAGGCCAGGACACCTGCCTGAAATTAATTGACCCATTACTCTGGGTCATGGATGTAGGCTCGTCTGAAGGGAAAAAGACACCAGGAGGGAGTTAGTTTTCAGCTAATACCTCAGGGGATAGAGGACAGAGTCAAAAGTCTAGGAAAGTAGTGGTTCTAACTTTGGATTTGGCAAAGAAAACCTTCCAATATCCAGGTTGGAGAGGCAATCTGGCTAAAGCCCAGGTGAGAAAAGGCTTCTATGGATGAGGAACTCTGAAATTGAAAAGGCTGTTAACAGTTCTCTCCTTTTTAAATCGTTGGGACTTAACAGTGTTTGTGGATAAGGCCTGGGCTGGATTTTAGGCACAAGGCTCAAATAAAATCCAGATATGGGATCAAAGCTGTATTTAAGTATCTCTTAAAAAGGTTGGGTAAGGAGAGGAGCTGGCATTTGCTGAGGTCTCCTATAAGCAAGAAACCATGCTCATGCGAGATCTCACTTAATCCTGGACACCAGCCTATGACATGGAGTGTACTATCCGTACCTTACAGGTGGGGAAACAGAAGCTTGGAGATTTAAAATGATGATTTAAGCAAAATGACTGAACCAACACGTAGCACAGCTGAGATCTGAAGTCAAGTGTGTCTAAATCGCAAAGCTTTTCCCTGTCCACTGAGTTATGCTTTAGCTCAGAGACCACGCTAGAGAAAGAAACCGCAAGAGGCAGAAAGGAAGCAGGAAAGAGAGAAGCGTGTTCCCCAAAGAGTAAGAGTCTGGCATCAGAAGCAAGTCTGGGATAAAACAATCCTAGGAATGCAAAAGGAGCTTCAGGTATCACCTGGTTTTACCTTCTGTCCTATGCTTAGCTTCATGAAATGCTTCTGGTTTTAGTTTTCAAGAAAACTCAAGGTATCTAGCTGAGAAACAAGAGCTTCAAGACAGAGGGCAGCAGAAGATAACACCAGAAACTAGTGTGAGAGTAAAGATGTGTAGCCATCTCAATGTGTTGGCATTTTTTTCATGATTCCTGACCTTGTCCTTGTGGGGACGCTGGGCCTACTTGAGAGAGATGTGTTAATATGCCACAGTCCAGGCAGCTGAACCCGTGACCAATCTTTAGTCATCTGGGATGGATGCCAGCCAACACCAGGTGTGAGGCCAGTGAAGACAGTCTAATAGATGTGGCCACATTCCTTGCACATAAGAAGAAAGAGATCCATAAGTGATTGGGAGGAGGGGAGAGAGAAAAGCAGTAAGAAGACAGAACCATTGCGTTGGCGGTCAGGGAAGCAGGTGACGAGAGTGGTTAGCTGCAGCCTGTCTGCTACAAGTGCTCTTGGATGAAACTTCATGAACTGAATTCGTTTCTAAAGATGTTGTAGCAGGTGGGATGCAAGTCAGGTCTCTAACATGAGATCTAAATTCCATCTCAGGTTGGCTACCAAAGGACCTCTCCTCCTACTGTCTAAATATGGTCAACTAGCATGGGCAGAAAGGAACATTAAATCTTAAACGAATTCTGTAAGGAAAAACAAACCTAGATGGGCAGCTCCAATCGTTCTTTTCCTGCATGTAGTTCTAAGCTACCCTCTTTCATTACTTAACCCTCAAAAGATAGCACAAATCTCACTCAGAATACAGCTATAGAGCCCAGGGCCTTGAACCCCTTGCAGACAGCAACCTTGAAATGAATGTGTTACTATCCATGTCCTTTCTCATTTGCCTTTCTTTAGATGTATGTGATGTCAGGAGGCACGGCTTCTGATCAAGGACAGATCTGGTCAAATGATCGTTCGTAATACTTTCACATCTTTCACAATATAAGCATGCAGATGACACTCTTCCTGCAGTACAATGATGGTTATCACAGTGCTACATTATGACCAAAGCCAATTGTTTCTCACCTGGAAATATCTCCTGGGGTTCAGTTTCACCAATCCAGGCTGATGGAATGAACCAGCTTAGCTGCTGCCTGGCCAAAGTAAGTTGGGCTTAAATCAGGACTGTGGCCTCCTAGAGTCCTGTAGCTTTTCTGTCCTTCAGATGGTGGCACCCTGCTGAAAAGCGAAGGCAAGCCATGTTACTGTGAGAAGCACTTTTCCGTTCTCCGCTAGTCACAATATATTTTTTAAGGAGAGCAGAGAGAGTCACAAGATCATAGGTTATCAGGCCCGAAGGACATCTACGAGATAATCTTGTCTAATTCTTTCATTTCATAATTAGAAGATTGAGGCTCAGAGAAGAAAACAGCCTCCCTTGAGGACTCAGCAGTGTGGGAGTCACATCCACATTGGAACATGTCTCTGACGCTACGACCTTTGACATCTTTTTTAAATGCAGCCCCACGGTCAGGCTGATTTCTCAAACAAGTGGTCATTGACCTTGAATGGGAAGTCTTTTCATTTTTTGTTTAACAGATTTTGAAAAAGGGAGGTGGCACTTTTTCAGATTGCTGTTTTTGTAGTCTCACCCCTGGGAGTTAAATTCATAAAACAGCCTACCTCAGGCATGTGGTTGGGATGGTTCTCCCTATTTCTCATTAGAAAAATATTGTTATAAAATACCATGACCCATGAACACAGTGACACAGTGGGGAGTGAGTGCTGCTTTTCAGTGAGAAGCAAGTGTGGACCCAGCTGCCCCCACCCCCACCTCTCTCTCCATATTTCAGAGAAACACAGCAACAGATATGGACTCCTTTTCCATAAGTATCATTTATTGTCGGGGTATTTTCCCCCCCTGGCTACTGTGCATTTAAATGTCCACTCCTTTGTGCAAAAAACCAAATCATAGAAAATAGAGGGGAGCACTCACTTATTAAGCAAATATCTGTCAAGCATATCATAAGAATTGTATAGATATACTTTCTTATTAATTTGTCCTCAAAAAATCCCTGTAAGATACCATTAATTCCATTTTTCCAGGGAGGTAGGAAACCAGTCTTTTAAGAGCTAGAATGATCTGCAGAGTCAAAGAGATGCAAGGCAGAAACAGAAACAAGCTTGGGACTCCTAAATCTACCTTTTGTTGTCTAAACTGAACTATAGTTCGTTACTAGGACGAAACACTAGAGTTGTCTGTTTTTTTCCAGTGTTTCCATTCAAATGCATGAGGCAGTTCTTTGGAAACTGAAATTGTTGCAAGGGCATGAAAGATTATTCTTATTAGATTCTCTTTCTGCTGGGGGTGGAGGATAGGAGTGGGGCTTGGGGGGTGTCTAAAGTCCAAGGCTTCCAGCCAGGCTCCCAGCTGGGGCTCCCAGGCCCTCAGAGGCTGGGCTGGCTCTGACTCTCAGCAGCAGGGGCAGCAGCAAGAGGGCACCTCAGGAAGTCACGATTATCAACGCTCCCTGGCTCAGGGCTTTGTTCCCGTTCTCAGACAACAAGGGACATGCCAGGAGAGACAGGGTGGGGGTGGAGAAAGAGGAAGAAAAAACAGGAAGTGAAGTGGGGGAGGAGGGAAGGAAATGATAGAGAAAACACAGCAACTTTGAAATGTCCTTGGCCTGATGAGAAAGTGAATTCTGAGTGGACATTAGTGGAGCTGGGACCTGCATTTTGGCAAACTGGATTGTGATGGTAATGGGGCAGGGCAAAGAAGTTTACTTCCTGCAGACTCAGGGCTGCAGTCCACAAATCCCATCTCCCACCACCGAGCACAGCCTGGCACAGGGCTGTTTTCCACACACTCGGGTGTAGACACTGAAGGTGGTGAATTTCCAGAGATGGATTCTGGGGTAAGGCCCTGTTCCTCACCTCCTGACCGGCTGAGAGGCCAGGTGCATCAGAAAAGGATCTGGAAACAGGAGAAAAGCTCTCAAAGTGATCAGATATCCAGGAGAGGTATCCCATCCTCACTGCTTTTTGTTCTCTCAAATGTCCTCAAAATTCAACCCATTTTCAGTGTGCATGACTGGGACAGATTCACTCAGCTGGGTTCAGCACGGATGCTGCTATCTTCCTCCACAAAACCAAGAGGGTCAGTCAGGCAGAACACGGGGTTTCCTCCTGATGATGATTCTACCACACCTCCTGCCTGTTTTCTATCCATTGTCTTCACTCTACTTATTTACTGAGGCTTACAGAAATTCCTCAACTCCAAATGCACATCGTTAAGAATGACAGTCACCTGGTATGAACAACCACACACAGAGATGACCCTAATACTAACCGAATACCACTTCTACTAATGCTAATGCTATTCGTAGACCCCTGATGGGCACCAGTGGGCACAGAATGCAGAACCCCCTCCTGGGGAAGCCGTTAGATACTGGCGCCCCTACTCCAGCGGGTCTCCTGTACCCGCTAAGCAGTACAGGATTGGGTCTGTATTTTCTGTCAGCTTCTTAGCAATGGCCAGGAAATTTGTTAACACTCTTCTGAGAGGGTTTTAGTGTCACCGACCTGGCTCCGATCCACAGACAAGCATTCAGTTAACATGGACCCCAACTCTGCTCTCACTCTCACCCCACCTTCTCCCACCTAACAGATGCAACACAACAGCTCTCCAAGGGCAGAGGCTTACTCCGGGTCCCACAGCTAATGGCCTTCCAGGGATCTGCCCCACTTCCCCTAAAGTAAACATAGAACAACAAAAAGTCAGTATACGTTTGAGAGGAGTCCAAGCCTTCTGAAGCAATTGCTGATGGTTTACTGTGTGAGTCACCCCGGGGCCAAATGTCTCTTAGGGAGAACAGAGAGCAAGGGGAGGGAAAGAAACTGAAAACTCTCATCTCACGTCTCCACAGGCAGCAAAGCCTCACAGATCATCAGCAACACGAGTACGCATTTGCTCCCATCCAAGCGGCCACGGGTGGCCCACGCTGTTTCCACAGTACTCTGCCCTGTGCCTGGCCTGGTGAGACTCACACCACCAACACTATCAGGAGCTTGCCCTTCTGTAGCACCCGGCAGCCAGTAAAATGCTTTTCCGTATCTTTACATCTTCGCTCATTTTGAGAGAGGTACAAAGCTGAGGGGTAATCACCCCAGTTTATAAATGGAGAAATCAGAGACAGGAAGGGCCTCATCCAGAGTCTCAAAACAGAACTACGGCCAAAAATAGGCACCTCTTGTCTTCCAGTCCAGGGACCTTTCCCTGTGTCCTGTCCCTCCCAGTCCTATTCAGGGGAGGGCTGAGGAACAGCTTCAAACGGCTGCTGCCTTCCCCTTCTGAATGGGTTTGGAAATTGAAAAACAAGGCAGGGCAATGGAAGGGAAGGCAATATCCACTATGAGAGGCCAAAAGGGCCACAAAGACCACGTCCCCACCCTCTGGGGCAGGCAGTCAAGGGACCCAAAGCCCAGGGTGGGGCATGCTTGTTTCCACGGTTCACCAGCAGCAGAGCTTAGACTAAGTTCCTCAATGCCAGCAGCACAGACGAGCATTGAGAAACCAGAAGGGACAGGTGTTTAGATAATAAAAACAGCTAATACTGATCAAGTGCCTACTGTGTGTTGTGCTTTGTTTAGCACCTTACACCTAGTGACTCCCTGAAACCTCATGGCAACCGAACTAGGTAGCATTATTATTGTCCACTTTTACAGATGAGGTAACTGAGGCACCGAGTGATTAAGTCAGTTGTCCATGGGATTTAGCTTTAGAGTGGGAGCGTCAAGGTGTGAACTTAGGCAGGCTGGCTCAAATTCTGCAAAGCCAAATAGTGGAAAGATAGAGAATAAAGCAAATATGCTAGGAACAGATGACACCTTCCTTGAAAAGTAGAGAAGGAACATAGAGACTCTCCAGTCAGGAAATACTGAGAGATGCTATGCAGGCAGGATTAGAAATTTGGTCCCCAGTCCCTTCTGGGTAGCAGCCAACCAATGTCAGCCAACACCAGTGAATGACATTCTGGTCTCGGTGTTTATACAGCACCACTGTGGGAGGAGGGAGTAGCTGGGCCAGGGAGGGGATGAAGGGAGGGCCTGAGATGGGAGAGCCACCAGGATGGGTGGAGAGGATGATGCTCTGGGAATCCAATTCCCATGTCCCAGAGGGATGGAGCAGCTGGGCAGGCGGGCAGGCAGTTCCTTTCTGCATCCCCAGCACAGCAGGGCACACACCCCCGGGATACCAGGCTTCAGGGATGCCACCGGGTTACAGCCTTATGAAGCCTGGAAAGCCGGGAAGGATGAGATCATTTCTTACCATTTCCCCATTGAAAAGACTAAAGCCAAAGGCAGTCGCTGTCCTGGAATAAAAACAACAACAACACAGGCACCATTTGCTGGCAGGTTACGATCTGTCAGGAAATACGCTAGATGCTGTACATATATTGTGTAAAAATGATACCAACTCGGCCGGGCGCGGTGGCTCAAGCCTGTAATCCCAGCACTTTGGGAGGCCGAGTTGGGTGGATCACGAGGTCATGAGATCGAGACCATCCTGGTCAAAATGGTGAAACCCCGTCTCTACTAAAGATACAAAAAATTAGCTGGGCATGGTGGCATGTGCCTGTAATCCCAGCTACTCGGGAGGCTGAGGCAGGATAATTGCCTGAACCCAGGAGGTGGAGGTTGCGGTGAGCCGAGATCGCGCCGTTGCACTCCAGCCTGGGTAACAAGAGTGAAACTCAGTCTCAAAAAAAAAAAAAAAATGGTACCAACTCTGAGAGGTCCATATGATTCCTCTTAATTTACAGTTGAGAAAAGCTAAGTAATTTTGTAAAGGTCAAAGCTAGCAGGCTATGAGAAAGGATCTGAACCACCATTTATCAAACTTCAAGGCACCTGATCTTGCCTCAGAGCTGTGTGTGCCATGAAATGGTTAAGTGATTTACCCATGATGGTGCAGAGGCACTAACCCACAGCCAGCTTCCGAGCTGGCAGAGCTCATGGGCACTGGCGTTTACATCCACATACTCTCTACGCTACACATTCACACTAAGTGCTGCTAACCACTTTTATATACACAGACATACAACTGGGGTCACTTAGTGGTTTTTCATCCAAACCCGGATTCCTCTGAGAGTGAAAGGGGGCCCTTTTAATAATAACGCTGGGACAACAGGCAGACGCCAGGGCTGTCCTAGGCATGAAAGAACATGTGGTCACCT